TGAAAAACATTTCATCTTTTAGCGGTGGAATTCTGTGCAGCCCGTGTGGAATATGCTTTGTCACATGTAGTCCTTTATAGGTGACTGTCATGCCCCAGGCATCACTGACATACGGGAGATGGGAAAATGCTACATTTTCCAGCTGCTTGTTCATCCAGCTTTCCCTGGATGCCTCCTGGCTAACCAGTACAATCCCGTTACAAGCAATCCAGCAGAAACACCTCAGAAAGGGACCCATGGTAGAAAACAGCTGCTTTGCCCACTATGAAGATGTGCAACAACAGCCCAGTACAGTCGTAAGTCAAGGAGAATACCATGTTAAACTAGGGATTTTCACAAGTTCAACAGTGAATGACTAATACATATAGAACAGAAAAGTGCCTCTCTAGACATTGTGAAGTGATTCAGAGTGCAAATGCTATAATGCTTGTTGAATTACCTTGTTGCCTGGAATGTTGTTATGCGTTTCCATGGAAAGGAGCTACTGGGAAAAGGTAAGGAGCAATGAAATGGGAAATACACACAGTTCTGTTCTGAAGCTTCTTATTATTTAATACCATGCAAAGTTTCTGGTGTAATTTTTTCTCCGAGTTGGGTGGCTTTGAGATGCGTGAGGGGAAATGGAGTCATAGAATCATGGAATGGTTTGGGTTGGAAGGGACCTTTAAAGATCATCTAGTCCAACCCTCCTGCAGTGAGCAGGGACATCTTTCACCAGATCAGGTTGCTAAGAGCCCCGTCCAATTTGGCCTTGAATGTTTCCAGGGATGGGACTTCTACCAACTATCTGGGCAAATTGTGCCAGTGTTTCACCACCCTCATTGTAAAAAATTTCTTCCTTATAACCAGTCTCAGTCTCCCCTCTTTTATTTGAAAACCATTGCCCCTTGTCCTGTCTCAGCAGGCTCTGCTAAAAAGACTCTCCCGGTCTTTCTTCTAGGCCCCCTTTAAGCACTGGAAGGCTGCAATAAGGTCTCTCTGGCGCCTTCTCGGTGCTGAACAACCCCAGCCCTTTCAGCTATCCTTCACAGCAGAGGTGCTCCAGCCCTCTGTTCATTTTTGTGGCCCTCTGAACCCACTCGAACAGGCCTATATCTTTCTGATACTGAGGACTGTGTACAAGTACTTGATCTGAAGGCATCAGCAGAAAGATCTACCAGTCTGTACTGAAGCTGATCTGGTTCATCAGAGCAGCTCATTAATATCCAGCTTATAGCTGCAAGTTGAAAAAGAATGTTTCCCTGAGAGGTAATCATTCACTAATTTTTGTGTCACAAGTGGACACTTCTGTCTGCTTTATCTTTTTTCCCCTTTTAGGCTCTGACTTTAATTTTGTCTGTCTGAAGCGTTCTTCCTAAATTGGAACCAATATTTTTTTTTTTATGCTTTATTCTTTCTACTTCCATTTAGGATCAGTCAGTGCCAGAGCTAATTTCATTTCCTGGTGACTCTGATGTATAAATGACAATACAACATAATTTATAGAAGTAATTAAAGAAATGAGAATCTGGAGTTGTAACGAAGTTCCTCTGTAGGACCCTGAAGAATAGCTTAGGAATTCTGAAGTATTAGTGAAAACTCCTCTGATTTATTTTTTCTATTCTTCGGTTATATTTATTCTAATGGAGGTGAAACTTGCTTTGGAAGTAAGCTTATAAAATCAATTGCAATTCAAACTAGAGAAAAGATTTAAATATATAAAAAAAAAAAACACATCAAGAAACCCCAGGTATTCCGTTACTCCAAGGCATTTTAATAGTTTATTATTACTATGTGAAAAGTGCTTCTTTAATAACTGAAGAATTAGAGGAATTTTTGAAAGCAAGTGGTTTGATTGACTGAGTATCTCCTAGCAGCTTGGGAAGCTTTAAACACAACTGACTGAACACTGCCTGTGGAGTGTATTGTCAAGCCCAAAGCACCTGCCAAAACCAGGTGATGATTCCATTCTTTAGAACCCATCAGAGAGCAAATATGTAACTCAATGTTTTGTCAGCTACTAAAAAGGGATTTGCGTAAGACAGAGGATACAATATATAGAAAATTGAATTCTAAATGACATTCAACTACCGCAAACCTCAATAGTATTTCTGTGAAGTGGATTTTAAAGTTAGTACTGCATGCTTCTGTTGAAACAGTACATTTTGTTATGGAGAAGCTAACCCAGCTTTCTGCTGTTACGTGGCACCCATGTGCGCTGTGGCCGTGTGAACAAGAATGGGATCCTGCTGGCATTTTACTTGGGCAACCACAGGGAAATGCTACTCAGCAAACAAAAGCTTGGGTTTTTTTATTTGGTAAGAGGTAAAATCAAGCCAAGGAATGGTGATGTCAATAGAGAGAAGTGTAGGGGACCACCTCTGCTTTTTCGCATCTCAGTCGGCAGCTTTAAATGTTGTTTTCTCTCATTGCGCGTATTGGTAGGTACCCTACAAACACATTAACAAATCTGACTGCCTCATAAATCACTTCAACTCAAAAGAGCTTCTGACAAGTGTCAACAATATATAGTATCAGCAACATGTGGTAAGAACACTGAACTTTTGTTGGAGGCTGGAAGCTGAGCTCTGCTTTGTGTGCTGTCCAGCTGCAAGAGGGCGAATGGAGTTGTCTTGCCAAGCGGTGTTCTCATGCTGGTAGCAATGCTTAGGTTGAGCTGGTGGTACTGCACAGGAAGTCTCCAGGAGAAATAAAATAGAGTCACATTTTATTCAGGTGATACTGGCCTTTACCATGTAGTTACTGCTCGTGCAAAACAACAGGCTTGCATGTGAGCTGTGCACTGAGCACAGCTGCAGAATTTGGCCAATCCTGAGAATTTTACTAACCCACTAATCTGTCGTTTAGGACAATTTTTGCCTGGTGCACAGCAATCTGGCTAAAAAAGAATGATTGTGGTTTTTCTTCAGTTTGAAAATTTGAACATGGTTTAATCAGTTTCATGCACTGAGCTATTACATTTTATTTTTATCTTGGATTTGCTGTCTGGTAAGCTGTCTGTTGCTTAGTGTTTTATGGAAAGAGAGGTATTTGATAAATTACATTATAATTGATGAGAGAGGTCAGTTAGCTAGGGGATAGTATCATCAAGAGATATGTGCTCCACTAGAGATTTTCCTCCATTAAAACCACTGTGAAGAATTATTAGGGGGAGCTCTATAAAGTCTGTTTGCTTTCATTTCTTGGTCAGATCACTTCATAAAAGGGTGAGTGCTTCCTGAAAATAGTAACTCTGATGTCTTGTGAGTTTACAAAGAATGCTTGTGAAACCCCTGGGAAAACTCCATGTCTTTATGCTGTTTTTATGCTGTTCATGTGACAAACATTGAGGTGAAACATTAAGCACTTTTCAATTTCAATTTAATGACTTGCTTAGAAATACACAATCTGCTTGTGTCTTTAAAAGTGTGCTTCTAACTTGGTCTGGTCACCTTGCTCATTCATCTGCTGCTTTCCAGTTTTAACTCACTTGGAAAGTTTCTGTTTCCTGTTGCTGTCAATGAGTCTTCAAAAGCTCTGTCTGAAGATGGCACCAAAATGTTCAAGTGTTAGATGCTGGAGCCTGAAACAAAGCAGTGTCTGGGCAGGCATGGGTGGGAATCTGGGACCAGGTTACATGGTGTTGAATGTGTGTGCCCCACTCAGCTGTGCTAGCAGGGATCCTCCTGCCTGCTTAGCTCTGCACTAGCGCCTCTCCATCTGCTCACATACCACAGAAAGTGTCTGCTCCAGTGTTTGATCAGTGTAAGAGTTTCCTGCCTCTTGTGTGTCGCCTGCCCTGGGATGGTAAAGCCAGAGCCAAGAAGATGGAGCAGGGAAGCATGAATGGGCCATTTGCTTCTCTGCACCTGCTTCTTCTGTAGGATAGGACCCTCTGCCCATATAGACACGGGGGAAGGGGACTTCTCAGCCTGAGCAGACCACGGCAGAACAAGGAGCTCTCACGTGTGGTGTGATCCCATGTGTGTCAGGTCCATGGAGCTGAGTGCACTCCAAGCAAGTGGGTAAGTGCAGACGTCTGACTTTCATTGCCACCCATTGTGGGCTGACCTGTCTTTGGGACAGGCACACAGGTCTGTGTGCATAAAATGCACTTTGGGCAAGTAAGCATTTCTGTGGTCATATAGTGGGTGTCTGCATTTCCTTTACCTATAGTATTGTCTTTAACTTGTATTAATTGGAAGTGGCAAAAGCTTTGAGAATTGTTGGTGGTTTATGGCTTTCATGATAAGACCTTAATATTAAATTAATCTTAATTTTTGCATATTTTTAGTCTTTTTTTTTCCTGGTAGCACTTGTTTGATTTTTTTTTTTTTAATTTAAAAAAATCTCACTAAACCCAGGTTTTTAAAGGAGACATCCTATACTCTGAGTGTGAGTTTTCTGGTGGCTTGGTGTGCATTAGAAGAGAGAAAGAGAGCTAAAGTTGCATGCACTAAGAACAGATTGCTTCATTTAGTCTTCTGGTGTGCCTATGTGAGTTATAGTCATAGGAAAATTAACAACAGAAAATTAGTTTCTATCCTATATTGCTTTCTGAGATCTGGAGAGAAAAAGATAAAATAATACCAGGAAAATACTGTCTTAGCTGTTGCTGTTTTCGTTGTGTACTTGCGCTCACTGCCACGCAGTCACCCTGTTTGAAACAAATGGGTAGGGCTTGAATTTCCAAAACGGTGGGCTTAAACCCACGGTTTGGATATCCTTCTTAAGCATTTGCCTCTGAAATTCCTGAATTCCTTCATTACTAGAAGCTGGGAGGAGATAGCTGGGGAGTAATTGTTTTCAGTTATCTGATATATAAAGCCACTGGTGATTACAAATGTTTTAGTTTGAGCAGTGTGGTGATTCAAATCAGTGACTCCTGACAAACTCCAAACAAGTATTTTTATTTGCAGTACTAGAGAACATTCAGATCTGTTCAAGTTATTGTTGTTGCGTTTTGGAAGCGCGCGTGTGTTTGGTTTTGCTTTGTTTATCCTTCTTGTCTCTCCTCACAGGTAACATCATCGTGCTGTGGTCCACCTGCAGAACATCGGTACTTAAATCTGTCACCAAGCGATTCATTAGGAACCTGGCCTGCTCGGGGCTGTGTGCCAGCCTGGTCTGCGTGCCTTTCGACATCGCGCTCAGTGCCAGCCCACACTGCTGCTGGTGGCTCTATACGATGCTCTTCTGCAGAATCGCCAAGTTTCTGCACAAGGTCTTCTGCTCAGTGACCATCCTGAGTTTCCCAGTCATTGCTCTTGACAGGTGAGAGAGCAAATTTGCCAGATTCCTTGATTTTTCTTTCTTCTTTCTGCTTTTGTAACAACTTTCTCCCTTTCATACTGTTTTTGCTCTTGTTCCAGTGCTTTGCTCGCAGTGTACAGTTTCTTTCTAGAACATATTGGGATAAATATTCTTCTCTGTAACACTGAAAACCTTTATTTTTCTGTTCACTCATATCTCTGTACATTTGTAAAAGACTTTGAGTCTACAGATTTGTCTTCAGAGAAATTTTTATCCTTTTCTTCATGGTAATTATTGTCCCTTAAAGGAACTTGAAAGCAGACTTCAGATTATAGACAAGATGCACATTTTTAGCTGTGGAATTTGAAAGCCATTGCCTGTTAGAAGAATTTCCCAGTGCTGTGGGACCATCAGCTTCACATTTCAAATGTAGATCTGTTTTTAGAAACAAACAAACAATATTAATACAGCCAGGATTAATTCAAAGAGGTTTTTGTATGTAGAAGATGAATTAAAAAAAGGCAAAGTGGCCATTTGGACTGTCTGAGTTTTTGGTTGCCATTCATTTTGCTTGTTATTATTAGCAGTCACTGATCCCACCAAAATGCACAGCTCTATCATCTAGCCAGTAACTGAAAGTTAAAGTATTTTTAAGGAAGGGTAGATAATAGTTTAATACAGTTTAATAGTGAGTGTAAAAGATAGGTCTGTCATGAAAATTCTGTGAACTTAAAAGTCCACGGTAGTAACCAAACAATGAATCAGTGCCTGAAATTTGAAGTGCATGTCACAGATGCACTTTTTTTTTTAATGCACATGGAATGTTCAGTGTTTGGCTACCTTTTTTGGGGGGGCCTTGCAAACTAGTGTTTGTGCAAAACAAAACCCCATTGTACTTCCAGTAGATGGGTGCGTGTAATATGTGACCAACAGCTTTTTCCAAATATCAAGAGAAAAGATCTATCATAAAGCAGCATTTCAAATTAATGAGTCTGGCCTTTCAATGAGAGTTATCTATGCCTCCATCTTATTTTCTGAAATTTTGTGCTGTGTGCAATCTACTGTCCAGTTTGCAAATCAAAATAGTGTTCATATACATAAGCCAAAGTGATACAGTCCCAATTATTGAAAGAATTGGTCACCACCAGTAATGTGATCCTGAAGTTTTGACTTATTTTTTATTACTGATAGACCTGCAAAAGTAGATCCTTGTGGCTTTTTTTTTTTCTGATTTGGGGCATTGTGTTCAGAGAGCTCCCGAGAGACTTCTCATAGGCACTGTGCTCACTGCAGATTTGCATTGTATCAGTTGATAGTGGATTGCTGGTTGGTTTCTTTGTTTTGTTTTGTTTTTCATAGGTACTACTCTGTTTTATACCCTCTGGAAAGAAAAATATCTGATGCAAAATCCCGAGACCTGGTTATCTACATCTGGGCCCATGCCATAGTGGCCAGCATTCCAGTGTTTGCCGTGACCAACGTGTCCGATATTTATGCCATGTCCACGTGTTCTGAATCTTGGAGTTACTCCCTTGGCCACCTGATATACGTCCTCGTCTATAACATCACCACTGTGATTGTACCCGTGGCTGTGGTGTTTCTCTTCATGATTCTTATCCGCAGGGCACTGAGTGCCAGCCAGAAGAAGAAGGTCATCATAGCTGCCTTAAGGACCCCTCAGAATACAATTTCCATCCCCTATGCCTCGCAGCGGGAAGCTGAGCTGCATGCCATGCTGCTTTCCATGGTCATGATATTCATTTTCTGCAGCGTCCCCTACGTGACGTTGGTGATTTACCGCACCATACTCAACGTTTCCGATATTTCGGTCTTCTTGCTCCTCACTGCCTTTTGGTTGCCCAAGGTCTCTTTGCTGGCCAACCCGTTGTTATTTTTAACTGTGAACAAGTCCGTACGGAAGTGCTTAGTGGGGACGCTAGTCCAGCTGCATCAAAGGTACAGCAGGAGAAACGTTGTCAGCTTGGGTGGTGTTGCAGATGATAATCTGGAGCCCAGTGTCCGTTCAGGGAGCCAACTTCTGGAGATGTTTCATATCGGGCAACAACAAATCTTCAAGCCAATGGAAGATGAGAATGAGACCAAATCCATTTGCTCTGGTGACTTTCAACAGAAAGAAATTCCTACCACTGGTGTACAGGTAGGAGAGACTTCAGTTCACACATTTATACCACAGACAATTTCAGACTCTGCCGCTCAGGTGGCACCAGCTGTGCCCACAGAAGCTGATATGGTGAATGACAAGTACTCCACGCAGTTTGGATTTGGACCCTTTGAGCTGCCTCCACAGTGGCTTTCAGAAAACCGAAACAGTAAGAAGCGACTTCTGCCTCCTTTGGGGAATACCCCTGAAGAGCTAATACAGACAAAACAGCCTAAGTGTAAAGCAGAAAGAAAAATTAGCAGAAACAATAAAGTCAGTATCTTTCCCAAGGTGGATTCTTAGTAAAAGAAGGAGCTTTAAGGGACAGAGGAAGGTCACCTTCTGTTATATGTGAGATCCCGTGGATCTTTGTTATGCTGGAATTTGTTACAGGCTGATTTTTTTGGTGCCAAATATAATTTAAACAAACAAAAAGGGAAACATATATACAAGTGTTCCTTATTAATATGTTTTCATTAATATAATATATCAAAAGATGGTGATTCTTAGTTTTATCTGTGAAATCCCTACAATAATATCTGCTTAATTAACTTTCAAAAAGTACATGTGGTTTTGGAAACACTTTGTATGGCTTAAGTATGGAAATACTGCAGTCACTTTGCTGGGAAACCTCATATTGTATTAAAATGGACTGGGTATCAAAGTACCATAACAGAAAAGTCTGTGGGGAGATGAAAAGAAATCCAAAATGGATAAATCCTAACCTCCTGTAAATAGACACAGCAAGGTTCTGCACATTTCATTAATGAAGTAAGATGGACTATTAAGTACATCTATTTTTGGTTAAGCCCGTTTCTTGAATGGGTGTTAAGAATAAAACTTGCTGGACTTTTTGCACAAATGAGTTTCCAAGTATCTGCAAAACATCTAAACCACTACTTTTTGGCTTAAAACTTCAGCAAAGCCAAGGATACACAAATCATCATCTGTGTCAAACCTGAGAAAGACCTTTTTTAAAAAGCCCAGATATTCTTTTAGTTTCAGTAAAAGCTGGGTTGGAGACCATGCAGGACGAATACTGACTCCAGTAAACAAGTACGTATGTGCCAAGGGCATAAATCAAACACTTTGATCCTGTGATAAAGGGCATATGCAAATGTCCCAACTGTGTAATGTATGTATTGTGTAAGTAAATGAAGGGTCAACCTTAAAATAGCCTCATCTGCTGGGGCACTCTGCTGTTTTCTTATGGAAATGAAAGAAATGGGTCAGAAATGCTAGTAGCCTTGTGCTGAGCTGCTGATTGAGGAAGCTGGTAACACCTCAAAGGCAAGGTTTGTTAGTGCTGGTCCTCACTATGGTCAGAGGTGGGGAGGTTTCTCTTCCACCTTCACAGACAGAGATACCAGCCTTCTTTACTCCATTCATCTCAAAGAGTAGACCACCCAGTGTATGAATGTGAGACTTTCAAATCTGGTGCCTAATTTCTGAGTGAATCAGAGTCAAGCCATCCCTGGTATCAGCCTTTCCATAAGAGTTCAGGCATTGTGCTGCAGCTTGCCCCCACGGGCATATTGTCTTGTCTATACTGAGTGGGAATTTGGAACTCTCTCAGTCTGTTAGATGACCTGGAACTATTGTAACCCTGGCATTTTAATCCTCCTTCAGCTGTAAGTAGTCTTTCCTTCTTCCTTATCTGTTGTCTCTGTGGGTAGCTTCTTAAAAGCCCCATCTAGTAACATCTGTGTGCTCCTTGTGATTCTCCTGTACTTCAGCCCTTTGGTGCATGCTGAAACTTTATCTGTGGTTACTGCCTGTTTATGAAAGTAGTTTTCTTTAAAGCATACTTCTAAAAGGACAAGGTAAAGCACCTTGCAAGTTCACAACCAGTTAATGTTAAAAGTGAGAAGAAAATTCTGCTGAAGCACAATTTGGAGATGTACCTGTTCCTCCTTGGACATGTCTGAAGACAGTCAGCAGCTTCTGATGGCTCCAAGGTGGTGTATTTCTGCAAGGCATTAAAAGCAAACGTTTTAATAAAAATATATATTTTAAAAAAAGTTTATAAATTACTGTGCAGATGGTATTTTTTAGCAGTTTCCTCTTTAGTTTCAGTGCACTTCACTTGCTAGGTTAAGAACTTCTCATCTTGGGAGTGAGGAGCAGTCTTCAGTGGGTCCAGATGGGTGGTGGGACCCCCAGCTGCTCTGCTTCTTAGACAGATGAGAAGACAGACATAGCTTGCCTGGATCAGAAAGAGGAAATATTCCAGGAAAAGGTGTTCCTTCTGTGGAGAGGTAGAGCAGTACCATATCAGACTTTTTTTTGGTGTGTCTGATAAATAGTAATTTAAGTGAGTGATTGTTTTTCCAATGTTAGTGAAAGAAGAGATGCCATTCAAAAAAATCCTGAAAACATCAAAAGCAAAGTAGGAGCTGTAGTTTTCTTGGCTAAATTTTGGTAAAATAAAATATTTGTGGCCCACTTACATGTAGATACTGGTCAAAGTCTGTGTGATTAATGAATGTGATAAATGTGTACTCATATCTAAACTTCTTTGAGGAAATGAAGCTTAGATTCTAAGTTTTGTCCTTTTCAACTCTCATGTTGAATGAATTGCCAGTGATAAATTCAAAGAGTTGAACTGCATAGAATTTAGTTTTGTCATATCTGGGAAGCAGGGGGTTTGTGGTGGTTGTCTGCTGAGACAAAAATACCTTTTCCTTAAAAAAGGACACAAAAACTTGCTTGTTGGTGTTGTGGTTTTTTTTTTGTTTTTTTTTTAGCAGATTGTATCTGAACACACTGAAACCTTTCACCAGGAAATTAACTAAGGTGGTTTTTCATACCTGAAGACTTGGGAGTGTTGCATTTTAGTCCTCCTTTCAACAGTTTATCCATGTTAATGGTTAAGAGAAGTGGAAAAAATACACAAAAGCACATCTTTGCATAGAGAAAATAATTGTGTGAAATTCATGATACAGCCTCTGTGCTAGAATTGTCATTAGAAAACAGTAATTCAAAAACCTTTACACAAGATGGAATATTTGACTTGTAGAGGTGGATTTTTAACTTCATCTAAGGCAGTGGTAACTGAGTCGTTACTGCTGGCTGTTGGCTCGTTGTTCAAATGATTTCTACTGGGCAAAATGTTCTCCAGCATCCAATATGAAAAAAAAAAACCAAACCAAGACTAGTTTTCTTCTTTATCATCACATTAAAGGTAAGCAAAAGTGAGTGGGTTTTTTTGTTTGTTTTTTATAATGGTTGTTTTTAAACACCACAGGTGTTAAAATTTTTTTCTCCAGATTATAGATGAAAGTGAAGTACAAAGCAAAGTTATGGGAACTGAGCAGGTGAAAGGGTAATTTGGCCTGTGCAGTTAGAATTTAAAGGCTAAATTTTACTCCTGGAGAATAAACTTGGAGGAAGAAAAAAAAAATCATTAAAACTCATTATTCTAGCACTTAGGGGAGAAAAACAGAAAATGGAGCTCATTTTAAACAAAGGAAGAAATCCTTTAAAAAGGATGAAAAGACTGCAGGGACAATGTCAATTTATTGTTCCTAGAAATTGTCAAGTAATATTGTTAAATTCAAACAAACTTAGTGTAAAAACTAAAATAGAAAAAAAATGATCACACGCCAAAGCACCAAACCTTAAGCACCAAATAATGCTGTATTGGTTGGCTACTTGGCAACAGTGTGTTTTGCATGGTAGGATAAACATCCAGAGAAGAGCAGTTGTTTCCTAGAAACTCCCCAAGTATTCCACCTTGTGACAGATCTAATTGTTATTAAGTGGCAGTAATTTAATTTATGCATTTGTTCTGGTTTTAAAAATACACCAACAGAGAGAATCTTTTGGAGAAAAGGCTGGTTGGATTTCTGTAGTGAGATTTCTTCTTTTCTGCTCCTTGTTTCCTGGGTAAATATTTCTGTATTTGATATATCTTGAAGAATGGAGAGGAAGGTCAGGCTGTGGTTTCAGACCAGTAGTACTGGTTCCAGCTGAACAGGAGCTGTCCCGTAAGCTGCTGTGAAGGCTCTGGAGGTGAGTACATACCACACAGAACTCAGGTGGTTTCTCTCCTGTTCAGGTCACCTGCCTTGCACTGCATAAGTTGATAAAGAATGTAAGCATATAAAAAGCAAAATCTCTGCTGCCTTATCTTTTTTGATATAAGTTACTATGTGATTGTGCTTTAACCTACATAGGAGTCCGTGTCAGATAATCAATGGTTTTAGTTTTGGATTTGGTTTTTTTGCCTTTCTTTTGACCATAAAAGACTAACCCCCTCTCCCCAAAGATATGGTTGAAGTAATTGCTTTCAAACTGTTTAACACTCTTACCTCTTTAAAAGACTGTTTATTTTAGTTGAAGTGACTTTCTCTGGGCCAAAGTAGGGATATTGGTAGGATCTCTAAATGAATTACAGTGATGTCTTTATCAAACTTGGACCACAAGTTTAATCACTGCAATCTGTGGTAATTTGTAATTCAAGGATAGTTTAGGAAAGCAAAAAAAAAAAAAAAAAAATTGAAACAAAACACATTTTACAGAAAACTGCAGAGCTCCAGATGGCTGCACTTATGAGCAAGTTGATTCCAGCCCTTCTGTGGAGGACACATAGAGGGGGAACAGCAGGAACCAGCCCAAAGTGATGTTTGTCTGTTTTTATGCTGCTAAACCAGCCAGAAGTGGTGAAGAGTACACAGAGGCTGATTTTTCTGGTTGCTTTCTTCAGAGACAATAATACAAGAGTGGGAATCGGAAGCGTTCTTGGCAAAAGCCCTTCTGCATGTGCATGGGAGCAGTTCTCTTGTTTCTTCTCTGTGAGAAGAAAGTGGACTATTTTTTAAAGAAAGCATAAGAAATATCAAGTCAGGTCCAATTCCTGAATGCACCTTTGGTGACACAAACCAGGGTTTCTCTACACAGCTGTTCTTCTGCATCCTGAGGTTCCCAATGGCTAAACATAATGCACTGAGATGGTTTACTCCAAAAAACTCCTTTGTGCACAGTACTTACCTAAGCAGTATTCTATCTTTTTTGCCTCCATTTTCTGTGAAACAATATTAATAAGAATAATAAAATTTAATATTAATACATAATCTATTTGTCCTTTGAATTAAAAGGGTCTGTTTATTCCCCTAACATGTAGGGGAGTTCATGTAAGGAAAATGAGCTCTGCTTGTCCTGATCCAAGTGCTTGAACAGTTACAGTCTACTTTAAAAAATGTTGCTTGTGGTAAAGAAATGCTACTTCAGGTGAGGACACACACAAAAAAAAAATATCAAAGGCAAATAACTAATAAGCATTAATCAAAGTCTTGATAATT